TAATTTAGAGTTTTAAAATTCACACTCAACATAAAGGGATTCACAAAATCTTCCACGTCAAATTCATACTTCACAGTAAATTCTATGGAAGGAAGAAAAACGAACCGTTTCAAGGAACTGTTTTACTATTATAATATATATTTTTATAGCTATTTTTCTCTTTATGCTTTTTCTACTGCACATTCTTTATTATTATTATTTTTTTGTTGAGAAGGCTACAATTACTATAATATATTTCTAATACCCTTCAAATAAACAACTCACTTCAAAGATAATTCACTTTATATCTTTTAGTAATTTCATATATATATATATATATATATATATATATAAACTCAAATTTAAGAAGACTTGCTTAATTTTCATTCCAATGAAAGTTTCAGTCAAAAAACTATTTAACTGACAGATATAATTTTTTTCTTACTTCGCATCTAATTTTTTTCTTTCGTATATGTATACACAAAAAGAAAAGAAACTAAACAATCTATTAGAAATAGTTGCTTATATAAACAATTTTCTCTAATTATAAAATCCAAAATTAGAATTGATATATTAAAATATTATTTTATTGTTAAGAAACATAAGTATTCCCATTACAGATTTCCCAATTTGAAGAAACAAGCGACTTTGTGTAAGAAAATTGAAATCCCTATGCCTTTCATATTATTTTGGATAGAAAGCATTAGCGGGATAGAGAAGGTGGAAGTTTCAGCGCTATATATAGATGAGCTTATAAAAACATATTTGTGGTGTAGAGAATTAGTAAGAAGATTCCCCGCACTGAAATAAAATAAAATAAAAATTGGAAGCATTGGATGAATCAAGTTGTAGCAGTGTTGAGCTGAATAACAATGACACTGATGTTGTCTTTGCTTCCACGAGCCATAGCCAACTCTGCTAACATGGCAGCAGCTTCTGTGGCATAGCTTATGATTGAGTCCTCTTTTAAGCTCCTCTTCATTTGGCCATGGAGACAGTTTCTTACGACCTCGCAAACAAACTTGTTAGACACCACATCCCATAGCCCATCACTCGCCACCACAATAAACTCATCTGAATCTCTTCTTTCGTACACCGAAGTCTCTGGTTGACATATCACAAAAGGCTTCATGCAGTGATCCCCTACATCCAATAATGCACTTTATCATATTAATATGTCTAAATAGTACTATATATATAAGATGAAGTAATTAATTAAAAATACGTACCTATGGATCTCGAAGTAGCAAGTACTCCCAAAACACGATTTCCATTCCAATCAATCACTCTCCCACCTGCTGCTTCTATCCTCTCTTTTTCATCTGGACGATCAGGCTGATATATATATATATATATAGATTCAATTCAACCAAAATAAATCAATAAATAATCCTGTGTTACGATATACATAATTAAATGATACTATTCACTAACTTGATGTGCATGCAACAACAACAACCAATAATTACTAATTAATTGATATATCTAATATCATGATTCATGAACGAAGAATCACGTACGTACCTTATGATCACGTGAAAGTGGCACAGCTACACCGCCACGGCACAAAACCGCTCTCGAGTCACCACAATTGGCCACCACTATCTCCTCCTTCCCGACCACCACCACCGACGCTGTCGACCCCATGGTGTTCCCGCCGCCGTCAGCGTCACCATCACCGCCGCCAACTCCGATTTCACGGTCCATCTTATTGAAACACTCACACATGACCTCACACCAATCCAACCCCTTCTCGGCGCTCTCCCTCACTTCCTCCGCCACCAGCAAGTGCAGCCTGTCGCGGCAAGAGTTCGCCACCCACGTCCCACCGTGCCCGTCGTAAACCGCGAAGAAGTCGTAACCGCCGCAACTCTGCTCCGCCGCCACCAAGCCCGGAACCACCTTGACGGCGTCCTCCATGACGCGCCGCCGCCCGATGACCGATATGAAACCGTGTGATGCTGAGGCTGAGGCTGAGGCTGAGGCTGAGGCGGCGGGCACCTTGATGCACTTGTCGTCTCCGGTGACGCGGGATTCTTCCATGGTAGGAACCACAGCCACGTCGCAAGGACACTTTCTCTTCTTTCGGTAGTTTTGGTAGCGTCGTTCGATTTCTTTGGTACTACTCTTGGTCGAATGCATCTTTGTTTTGTTAACGTTTGTGTTTGTGTTTGTAACTGTGCATGTATTTACCTGAATATGTAGTCATGTTCTTCTCGCTAACACCGGCTTCATTTTTATTATTATTCTTTTTTTTTTTTAGTTTTCTTCTTCTCAGAGGAAATGAAACTATGTCTTGCTTTTGTATACGACGCCACAAGCATGTTACTCACCAACGTTTGAGGCATTTGGGGGATAGTAAAATCTGGAGCGTACACCTGTGCTTTGAAGTTGGATTATAAGAGGAAAACGTGGACGGTTAAGATTTTTTATCATGGTACGTGGCGCTCTATTCCGAGGATGATGCTTTTGGCGGGAGGAGTCAAGCACACCACACCCTTGATTTGGTAAGTGCGTGTACGTGCAAATAATATTTTTAAAACAAGATTGGTTATCATCAAATAAATGCGTCAAAATAATGCTTTACAAGTTAGTTTCACTATTAAATTCAAGAATATGTTACTTATAGATAGAAATGACCAAATCAGCCAGGTTAATTATCACATGTTCATAACTTGACCTAACCTTGTTTATTAAAAAATGGTTGTGATCTTTTTATTTGAAGTCATCTAAACTATATTAATATATTTACAAATTAAAGCAGTTCATGAAAGCAGCCATTGGATTGGAGTTTCAAAACAAACATGTATGGGAATGTGAGAGATGTAGATTAATTGCATAAAGACGGTGTTGTACACAGAAAGACGGTGGTAAGTGAGTTGTCTGAATTGAGGAAGGATAAAAAGGTGGAGATTGATTTAGAAAAAAATAAATAATAATATTTGGATATTTACATATTTTATTGTATCTATAACCTTTTGTTTTAAAGTGTATATTAGTATAGTGTGTAAAAAAATGAAAATGAGTTAGGACGGTGGTATAGTCGGCAAAATGAGGTGATGAGTGGGTGGTGACGTGGCAATTTGATCTCATTGGGAGAGTGTGTGGTGGAGAAGAGCATATGATAGTTATCCAAGTGTCAACAAACAATTAAAGCATTACTTTGTTTTCGACCTTCCTCGCATCCTAATTCTTCCAGAATCGAACCTTCTGTCTACCGGAATGAGAGAATGGATGCTAAACACAAAATCAAAGTGTATATTACTTTCAAATGAGGTGATTTTTGTATGTCAAAAACATTATAGCGCCGTCTATACATGTCTTCGTCTTAAAAGATATAATTTATGGTAAAAGACGAAAAACATTCACAATTAAATGGAAAGTATTGTTTAGTTCATATATTTTATTAGATCTTTCAACATATAATTATGTTATTGTCACCAATAGCAATTAATAGTGATACTTTTTTCGTCTTTATTTTTAACAAGATCATTTTAACTTTCAAAAGAAAATTTTCATTAAATGATTGTATATTATATTTTTATTGTAAATAAAAATTTCCATTAAGTAATTATACAATACATAATTATTTTCAATATTATTATTATTTATTTATTTATAAAAATAAATAGATTTACGAACACATTATTAATATCAATTAATTGAGAAGTCGACACACTATGAGCTTATCTATTAGGAATTTAGGGTGTATTCGGCTCATTCATACGTCACTGCATTCATTTGCGTAAATATTCACGCTACGAAAAGAAAAAAAAGGTTTATGATTGGTGCTACAATAATACAGACAATCAGCAGCTGTCAATGCCTCTGAAAATTTTATCAGTAAAAGTTTAAATATATTTTCAATTTCTTACATTTAGAACAAGTATATTTTTTATATCCAGAACTTAAAATACCACTTTAATATATGTAATTACTAAAAGAGATTTATTATAGTGCTTTGAATCATATATCATAATTTATACTAATAATCTTTTATTATAATCCTGATAACTTGATTTGAAGTATATATTTTTTTAAATAATTTTACTTTTAAATAATAAAAATTAATATTAAAAAATAATTACTATTACAAATATAATTTTAAAAAGATTTAAAGATTAAATATAACACAGATTCATCTAACAAATATTAATAATTTTTAAATATTTTTATTAAATAAAATATAAATGATAGAATATCTTGATCTCACTAATTTAAAGTAAAAGGAATACCATGTTTTAGTGTCTACAATATATTTTTCAATTTTACCCTTAATTAACTACCACAAAATAACTACACATGATTCAAAAATAATTTCACATTAACTAACTACTAAAAAATTGTTATTCCCTCAAAAGTACAGAGTATCTTTATTCTACTAGTAACTAATAATAAGAATAAATCGAGTAATTTGTGTAAGATTTATTAAAAACATTTAGGTGAAAAAAATAAATTAGGAAATGCAGTTGCAAACTCAATTTTGTTATCCCACCAATAATATTCATTACTTTTTAAACTAAACCTCCACGAAAAAATAAATTTTCACTTTATTTCTCTTAAACTAAACTATTTCTATTTCCATTCCACTTATTACATATTTATCTTCTCTTTACTTTCTTTTACACATCTTTTAATTCGTTCCTCTCTAACACAATTTTAACAAAGTCTCGACAAATAGGAGGAAATACAGTTGCAAACATACACTACACAGTTGCAAACAGTATTTTTCCAAAAAAAATGTGCTCCAAGTAATAGTCATATCGAGCCAATATTTCGAGTCTTCTGCGGTTGAACAAAAGCTATGCAATGCATATTATCAGCCAATTCTGAATAATCATATATACAGTCACCAAAGGAAACAATAGAACGTAGACAAATACTATAAAATGCACAAACTAAATTATCTCCATGGCAATTACTCAGGCACGGGGTTTATTTCCACTCTTGTACAAGTTGTCAATGGCATTCTGTACACAAAATAAAAATGATGCAGTCAGTACTTTTATCACCCTCCACCATTCCATCCCTGTCCCAAAATCAAATTTAACAAAGCCTTAAAGTAAAATGAAAATGGCTCGACTCTGAATCCCATTAGATTAAAATGTGCGATAGAAAATTGCATTTTAAAAGCGGAGCGGTTTCACAGAAATTCAAGATCGTATTGATTTGATCACACTGACTAGTAGCCAACACAATCAACAGAATAGGAATTAACTGACATTTCCCAATCTTTTTATTTGTTGTTTGGGAATGAGTAAACAAAGGAAGAGGGAAAAAAAAAACCTTTCATTTATGAACTATGAAGGTTGTACCACTTTAATACCTATTCTATTCAATATGAATTGAATGAAATCCTGAGAATTTCACAAAGTGTACCTGATAGTATTTAAGCATCTGAGGCCTCTTCTTCTTATATGTTGGAGTGATAAGGTCACGTTCCATGTCAAATGGAACTGGGTCAAGGTGAACTCCTTTTATAAACTCAAAACCTTTCAACTGCCAAAAACATACACCATTCCACAAAGCTTCAGGAAATATGGTTGGTCGTACAGACACGTGTACATATTGTATAAATCATTTAAAGCCAGTGAAAGTCCAGACAAAATATTTCATGTTATATATTATAATTACCAAAAAATAGTATATTGTATGCAAATTATAAAAAATCTAGTTCGTTGTAGAAAACCACCTCAAGATGCGAAAGTTTATCAATGAGATATGAACACACATACACCAAATACAACAAATTGGAATAATGATAATAAATGTAAACTAAATAAATAGGACCTTCTTTTCCTTTGCGATCTTTGAGAGCTCTTCAACTATGTAACGTTTTGCTCTAGGATCTTCACAGAGAGAATCGAAGTCCGTGGATATACCATTTTCTTGTGCCCAATGTTCAAGCGCTTGCTTACTAGGGTTAACAACAGCAACAAGGAAAGCCTCGAAACTGTTTCCATAAATCCATATCTGAAATAGAGGATAAAAACGTTTATATCTGCATGGAACAGAAATTTTCATCTCATAAATTTAAAACTACGTTTCTATTTTTGCACTGGACTAAACCTTATGACATTATTCATTTAAAGGTCTGGATATAAGAACAAATAATTGTACACATACATGCCACACCACTTGAACATCAAATGACGGAACCAATACCACGAAACATAAGACTATGGTGAGACTAAATATATTCACAGCAAAATAGGATTCCAAAACCATTGGAAGGAACAGGATTCACAGGACATACAGATTCAACACAAGAAACTTGACTGTAAATATTCTCCAGGTTTTCAACTGCAACATATTCTCCTTGTGCAAGCTTAAATATATTCTTCTTTCGATCAATAATTTTCATGCTTCCATTGGGTTGCCACTCTCCAATATCCCCTGTTGAATATATCATTTGCAAAAATAATAAAAACTGTGACCAAATGGCTAACATAGAATTGTGTCCATAACACCTCAATTTCAGAAAATAAATGAAATAACCTGTATGGAACCATCCATCGATCATAACCTCTTTGGTGAGGTCTTCACGTTTGTAATACCCTGAAAACAAGGTTTTTCCTTTTACACAAATTTCTCCTCTTGGTGTGCTGGCTAGGGCATCGTACCCCATTTCAGGAACAGATTCCAGACACACGTCCACATTTGGTACAGGAGGGCCCACTGTTCCAAGCATATCCATTTCATTTGGTAAAGAGACAAAGGTTCCCGCGCAAGTTTCCGTCAGACCTGTTTTCATTTCAACATGAGTACATTAAGGCCATAATCTAGTACAAGGGCAATAAATCTAGAACTATGATAAGCACCCAAGCACTTGGGAAATTCTCCCTTAATGTTGTTAAGAGGGGATAACCAAGTCATTTACAATTTGTTTTAGTAACATGTTTTTTATTTAAAAAAAAAAAGTACAACTTCTGATCCTAATTATAAGCAACATATGACAAATCATCAAGATCAAGAGAGGTCATTAATAAGGTTATTTTTAATTAATCATACCATAAATTTAAGTTATATTCCAAATATACCCTTTACATTAAATGATTATTATATTTAATGTTAGTTATAAGTTAAGGCATAAGAAATAGAGTTAAACTAATAAATGAAAGTTATAAAAAATATTTTACTTTAAGTAACATTAAAAACTAATAATTGTTGCGTATAATTATTACCAAAGAAAAACCCAATTTGTTGTTTAAAATTAAGACCAGAATAGTAGCATAGTGTGAGTTTGATTTTCGTATTTAAAAAGAGCATACCGTATCCTTGTAGGACATGAGCACAAGTCACAACCCGTAAGTAACCTTCCACATGTGCAGATAAAGGTGCTGCTCCAGACAAAATAAGACGTACCCTACCCCCTAAACCTTGCTTTATCTAATCAAGTAGCAAAACCATGATTAGTAAAAAAATTATAAATAAAAAATCCTGTAATAAGAGAGACTGCGAAGTTCACATTTATAAATTTACTACCTTATCAAACACAATTTTATCAAGAAGTGGAGATGCCTCTCCATGTGTAATCCCTTTCTTCATGTTATTCAGCTTACTGCAATCAAATTTCAGAATTTGCATTATTAGAATATTGCAGAGCTAATTAAATACACATCCCTCCCACTGATTTAGATACAACCTAATAAAAATTAATATTAATTTGTAAGTGAATTCAAATGGGAACTATCTTAGTTCCATTATACCATAAATATCTTTAGAGAGGACCCATGACAGTTCATAATTGCAGGTTTGTCATGATTTCACCCAGACTCAAGTAATTATTTACGAAAACAGCACTTACTATGAATATGCGAAGTTGAATAATGTCTTCTTTAAGAAGCCACCGGAAGAAATCTTTTGTGTCAAACCTGAGTATAAGATGAGGGATGAGAGTCATAATGCATATATTTCCAGTTGGTACAGGGGAGGAAGAAAAATGGAAAAGAAAAATAAGAAAAATGCCACTCCAGTGATCAAGAAATATTTTACAGCTTAGCTTTGCCCTACCGAAATCATGATTTGACAATCAACATTAAATGTTGATGGAAAGATCATCAATTGTAAATAATCACGAGAATTTTCAGGAGTTTACCCGAGTATACTCTATCAAGCACACGGGGAACAGCACAGAAAATAGTTGGTTTAAGTTCCCCAATATCTTCAATTAACAATTTGACATCCTACAGCCATTGTGTTAATGATGGTCATATTCCAAATCTAAAGTTCAATTATTGCATCAAATCTCCATTCCGTAATGACATATGCAACATATACTCACCCCACGCCAGAAACCTATCGAAGCACCATGCCAAATGAATGCCTCCTCAATGACCCTATCAAAAATATGTGCAAGAGGGAGGTATGATATGTATACATCTTTCTCAGTCAACTGCAGAGAAGGAAAAAAGAGGGGAGATTATGAAAGTCAAAGAAAGGACAGCTAAACATTTAGTATCCTAAAACTGAAAAACAAAAAAAAAATGGACTACAATCAGCAACTTAAATTGAATGAAATTGCATCTTGGGTGTTCTCTGTATATTCATGTATTTGCAGGTATAATGCAGGAGTTGTGAAATAAAACGACATACTTGTTCATTGACACTCTCCAACAGTCGCTTAACCCCAGCTAAGAGAGTAATAATACCCTCATTTGATATCAACACTCCCTTGGGGTCACCAGTAGTTCCACTAGTATACATTATTGTACAGATGTCACTCCTTTTCTTCAGAGGAAGATCAAAACTCTGATTTTGACCCTGTGGAAGACATCAAAAAATGAATTATGAATGGAAACCACAAAATATCCAATGAAGCAAAAGACATAATTACTTCCTACAAGTCATGACTGAAATTAACTCTAAAAAATAAATAAATTCCAACGTACATGTATGCATATAAATTGCCCTAATCAAACAATATGACATAGGTGCTGGGGCTGTAGAGTTTATTATATGCCATGCAGAGGTCTCAATCGCATTTGTAGAAGAAAAGAAGATACCTGAGGTTCTCCTGTCGAAATGCTGTTTTATTGCAGTTTAATTGTTAGGAAGGATTAGAGTTGTATACAATCTTTAGTTAACTGTCGGTGTTACCCATATATATGTTTCTGAAACTTTTCAGCTATTGAAGACATTTCCAAAAGCAACAGAGTGTCTCAGGAGTAAGTTTTGTTGATTCTCTCCTTTCTTTCCTAAACTGCTTATGCATTAAAAAGAAGCATTCATTTTTTTATGTCTGTTGCAGCAATTGTAAGCTTTGGAAAGGTTGAAGGATATTAAGGCTCAAAGGAACTCTCAATATCATAAATTCCAAAATATTTACAAGGATGCTAGCCTAGGGTATTTATAGAAAGGAGGTTGAATTTACGGTTGCATTTGAGAGTGCATGACCGGAAAATGCAAGCCAAATGCACTTCAAATGAAACCTAAATTATCCCTAGATGTTACTTGGTGGCTAAGGATAGAATCTTTGGGTTTGGTTAAGCTACATCTAGGTGCATAATAAGACCATGCAACCTAGGTGCCCCCCACTTGGGCCTAAACCTTACCAAGTCCAAAAATAATTCAAAGACTACCAAAAAATACGTCTAAACCTATTTTCTCACCTTAATAAAATACCCTAGTCCGAAAATAAAATCCTATAATCTAAGGCATCCCATAATACAAGGATAAAATGGGAAATACAAGTAAAAATAAATCCTATGACTAAGATACCCCAAAATACAAGGGTAAAATGGGAAATACAAGTAAAATAAATACCATGTCTAAGATACCTAAAAATACATGGGTAAAAATGGAAAATTAAAGATAAGGGTAAAATAGGAATAAAAGTAAATTCTATGCTAACAAGGTTTAGGAGACTGATTAGTATTCTTTAGCCATGAGAAGCATGTCTCTAAGGGTGTTAGCTCCCCTATCTTCTTCCAGTCTCCTAGCCATGAACCTAGTAATGGGTCCCACATGAAGCTCCAAGGATGGTCCTTCATCACTAAATTTGTAATTTTCTTTTCTCGTTGATATTGTCTATATTAGAGCATTTACTTTAATTAACTTTCTATACATGTTGCTACCTAATCCTTCCTTAACTAATAAAATAAGATGAATTAAAATTAATGAGTTAATCTAAAATGCAGGTCATTTTCATTTTTTTTTGCCTAAACTTTATCATGTTTCTATTATCTAAGACGAGATGATGCATGGTAAAGACAGGGATTTTTATTTATTTCCTTTAAAATAAGAAACTACCTATATGATGTTAATCGAATGATGACCTAAGAATGTACAAAAGGATATAATTTTTTTTTTATTTTTTTTATTTATTATTATTTCTTTATTATCTGTTTGTTTGTTTTAAAATTCCAATCCACTTTTATTGAAACAAAATAGTACAAACAAATGCACACACACATGCTCAATTAGCGTACACCCATGAATGATCACGTTCAAATCCTTGGTCTGAGGTCCCTATCAAAGAAAACTGCGTTGTATAGGACGGTCCTAAACTCGCTGGTCTTTAAGGCTCCCAACGTGCCCCCATTATAGGGACCCAGTACCTCTGTCAAGTGGTTTGTCATAGTATTTCAAGCTAGAGTAACCGGTTATCACCTTGAGTATGATTTCCAACAAGGCTCGCAGGGTCTAAGGCCATACTTGGGTCGGTCATACGTCAACCACTTCGTATGTTTATACACTCATGCCCCCGGGTGTAGGGGGACTGTTGTGTGCTATGGTTTGTGTATAGTTTTTATTTCAAACAAGTGCGAGAATTTAAACAAACCAAAAATATCAAAGCCAAACAAGTAAAAATCTCATTAATTAGGGAATGCACGAAAACCAGACTAATCCTCAATTAATGGTTTTGAAAATGGTTCGTAGGAGTCGCCACCAATGTTTTACTCAAAACATTGAAAAAGAAGAGGTTTTTAAAAATTCAATAATAGCCTTGATACGCGTAGGGAAGGTATTAAGTACCCCTACAATGCCCTTAATCGATACCTTATGATGAAGCTAGCATAATAAGAAATAATAATTTAAATATTAAATTCCCTTTATTAAGGATTATTTATATACATGAAATTTAAATTACCCAATTTACCCTAAAATGTCTACATGATTATTCTTTTAATTTAGCACAATATCTATTAAAGATGAGAAATAAAAAGGAAGAGAAAAGTATTCATTGAAGTACCTCTTAAATGAGCTTTATTAAATTTTCAAATGTGGAGATTTTTAGGTGCTTTGTGGCAGCCTTACACATTACAATGTGCCTCTCAACACTCAAGAAATACAAAAGAGGAAGAGACAATTGTTGAGCTAACTCGAACTTTCTAGACGAATTTTTCTAGCCCTTGGAGCAGTGCCCGAGCCTTCTATTTATAACGTCAGAACTGGCCAGAATGGCCCGTTCTAGATTTGGAACGGTCTGTTCTGGGCCAGTCTGTAATGAGTTAAATTTGAATCTGGAAGGGTCTGTTCAAGAAGCAGAATGGCTCGTTCTGGATTTGAATACTCATAACAACCTATGTTGGAATGGCCCATTCCAAACTAGGGTTTCTAGGCCTTTTTAGTAGCTTGGAACGGCCTATTCTAGATTGGGAATGGCCCGTTTTGGGCTACTAAATCACCCTTATTGGGCTTCGGGCCTTCTAATGTCATATCATGTCATTTCTAGTCCTTTAGGAGTTCCTTTTCTTCTTGCTAGATGTCCATTTCCTTGGTTGTATACCTCGGATAAAATTAGGTGTCTAAAATGATCAAATTAGGAATTATAACCATTCACATGTCAACCACAAGCCACATCAATAATCCACACCTTGTAGACACTCTTCAAAACCCTGACAACTACAACAGAATATCCAATTCACCCACATCTATATCCCCGTGCTCACAATGTCACCACAATAATCACTACTTGAGGCAACACACTAACAACACATTCACACTCAATCCACTTCAATGATCAGAAATCATCAACCAAGAAGACTCGACAGTTAGCAAATATCGACCAAAACTCCTACATGCATGATAGATGCTTGGAGAGGCATCATAAAACTCACCTAGTAAGAACAACACTAGAATTCTGGCTAACCAATAACTAGTCAGAAAATCCTTAGAAGACACTTGGAGAGGCATCCTAATACCCGTACGATAGGAAGGATATAGAATTTTTTGCCATACATACCCAATAAAAATGCCTAGAGAGGCATCACAATACTCACATGGCAGGAACAACACCAAAATTCCTACCACACATTTCTTCCACCAATTGAGATGCCTGGAAAGGCATCACAATACTCACATGGTAGAAACAGTACTAGAATCCCTGTCATTCATTCCCCAATGAAATTGTAACGACCTGCCTTAGGTTGCCACATCAATAAACAACTGAATGACACATATAAATAATATATAATAAAGAAAAGAAAGAGCAAATGCCAACTACACTAGAGTGTAAATATAAAATAACGTATAAATTGTTTTCATCATATAAAACATAATTTTATAAAAGAGCTACTATCAGTAAGGTTATTGATCGAAGCCGTATCCGGTCAAATAAATACAAGTAAATGTAGTACTAGGAAGTGACTCCTAGGTCGTCTCCCAAGGACCGTCTTTTACTGTTAATGGCTTAAACACACGAAATGGGGGTTTTGGTTCAGAAATTCAGTTTGTAACACAATAAACGCAGATAACACAACACATAAAATGGATTGGCTCCTTGTTCGGATTATAACTCTCTTATCCCTGGTTTCTTAAAAGATTACTCTATTAACCACTTAATCCTTGTTCCATCCGAGTTAACCAACTAAGCGAAGATTAACTCAAGATTTCCCTACACGAATTAAGCAAACGTATACAACATCAACCTCTTCTTCACAGATTAAGCAACTGTGCATTTATACAGAGGTTAAATGGAGAAGAACAAAGCAGAACAGAGATGAACACACATACCCAACCTCAAACAGAGATTACAATCCACAACAAGAAGCCAACCCAGTGGTTTTTAGCCTTCCATTAAATCAAAACGCAGCACAGAAACGAAAATGCAAGGAGAAGAAGGAAATGGCAGAGAAGGAAAACGAAAATGGCAGAGAAGGAAAACGAAAATGGCAGAAAAGGAAAACGAAAATGAGTAATCTGTATTTCAAATGTAATGGTTCAGTTCAGATACAAAATGCATATAAGAGAGGAAGAAAGTAAAACAAAAATGATAACTAAAGAGAGCAAAACGTAAGAACAACTACAGCAAGAGAGAAAATGTGAATAAAATGAGAGAGGAGGCTACTGTTCACGTAGTCACATCTGATTGCTCATGTTAGTGGCTGCCAAGCTAGACCTAACCTAGACCTAAATGAGCAAAAACGAATTGGGCCCAATAAAATACAAGTCTGACCCAATAAACTACAATAAAATAAATGTTGAGGTGGAAAATGGTGCAACAGTGACATGGCAGATGACGTGGCAGATGATGTGGCAGCTCCAATTGAAGTCCAGAAATTAATTCCAAGCCCAGATAATTATTAAATTGCCCTGAAAATAAAAATTTGGAATAATTAGATTCAGAAAATTCAAATTAGTTAAAATATGAATTGCCGGTCCAATTAAAGCCCAAATAGAAAATGTAACACCCTGAAAATTTTTACTAATGTAATAATTAATTGTTATTATTATTTTTATATATGGAGATTAATTCTTATGATTATTTTAACCAATTAAATGGATTTTATAAAGTATTTTAGATATTTTTAATGAATATGAATATTTTAATGATAATTATTTACAAAAAAAATATTTTATATTTTAGTAGCCCAGAACGGGCCGTTCCGAAATTGGAACGGGCCGTTCCAAACTACTAGAATAACATATAAATCTTGCATCGAAACGGGCCGTTCCAAGACATGTTTTTATGAGAAAAATTTGAAACCAGAACGGGCCGTTCCG